ATGAGATTCATTATCACTATCTTAGTCATAAAATTCAAAATGAGTTTATTGGTATGTTAGGCTCCAAGGTTAGAAGTGCTATCATTGAAAAAATCAAAGAGGCAAAATATTTTTCTGTAATACTTGATTGTACTCCGGATGTAAGTAACCATGAGCAAATGACTTTAATAATTCGATGTGTAGATATGTCAAATGCTCCCATAAAGGTAGAAGAGTATGTTTTAGAATTCTTGAAAGTGGACGATACATCTGGATGTGGGCTTTTTAATGAGTTACAAGCCGTATTAAAGTGTCTTAAACTTGATATTAATAATGTAAGGGGCCAAGGTTATGATAATGGAGCTAACATGAAGGGGAAAAATAATGGTGTGCAAACAAGGTTTCTAAAAATAAATCCTAGGGCATTTTATATGCCATGTGCTTGTCATTCTCTTAATTTAACAGTTTGTGATATGGCAAACTCTTGTGTTAAAGCTGTGTCATTTTTTGGTGTTGTGCAACGTTTGAATTTTTGTTGGGCATGAGTATATGGCATAACATTTTGAAAAAAATTGACTTGGTTAGCCAAAAATTGCAATATGGAGATATGCAAATTGATGTTGCAATAAAACATTTGAAGGGGCTGGTCTCTTATTTTGTAGACTATAGGGAAAATGGGTTCACATTGGCCCTACTTTCTGCTAAAGAGATTGCATCAAAGATGGAAATTGACCCTGTATTTCCTGAAAAACGTCAAAGTCGAAGAAAAAAACAATTTGATGAAAATGACCATAAAGAGACATTTCAATCTGCTGAAGAATCTTTTAGGGTTAATTATTTTCTTGTTGTAGTTGATGCTGCAATTTCTTCTTTGAGGAGTAGGTTTGAACAATTAGAAATATTTGAAGGCATTTTTGGTTTTTTGTTTGATCCTCAGAATTTATTTCAAATGAATTATATTAGATTGCGTGAATGTTGTAAAAATCTTGAAGCTGTTTTAACACATAATAATGAATCTGATATTAATTCTGATGATTTGTTTTCTGAATTGGAAGTGTTACAAATGTATTTACCAAAAGAGACAAAGACAGCCATTGAAGTTCTTGAGTTTGTAAAAGTTGTGGATTGTTTTCCAAATGTCTCCATTGCTTATAGAATTATACTGACTCTGCCAGTAACTGTGGCATCTGCAGAAAGAAGTTTTTCAAAATTAAAATTAATAAAATCTTATTTGCGATCAACTATGTCACAAGAAAGGTTAAATGGATTGGCAATCTTATGTATTGAAAAGAATATGTTGGAAAATATTGATTTTGAAGAGGTTATTGATGATTTTGCTTCTCAAAATGCTAGAAGATCAAGAATTTTTCAATGATTGTTTGTATTTTTAATGTTACTGCTTTTGATTTTTGATTTGTAGATGATGAAGTGGAAGTCAAAGGAGCTTTTTGTGTACAATTGAGCCGCTTGAGAATTAAGCCCTATGGAAGAGCCACTTAAAGAACTTTTGTTTTATTTTGCTGAAATTTTAGAAGCTCTATGACCCTAAATATGATTTTTGTTGTTTATGGATCATTTACTTTTGGTTTTTCTTTTGTTAGTTGAATGAAATTATTCTATTTAAGAAGCTTAGTTGTTTTCTGGGATTTTGCTCCGTATTCATAAAAAGAAAAAGGAATGAGCAAATAACAAAAAAATTATATACTAAGGGCCTCGTTTAATTTTTGACCATGGGCCACCAAAATGTCAGGGCCGGCCCTGGCTAAAACAGAAGTGAGAGACACTTCCACATAGAGAGAAACACTAGAGAGCATCACCATGATGGTGGAGATAAACTCCTCTTCGGCTACACAAGATGTATGTAGTAGATTCATAACACTTTTTGTGTGAGGATAGAACGGTAAGTAGGTTAGAACACAATACCGGTATAAATATTGTAGAAGAGTAATGATCATATAGATCTCCACAGGGGTTATGCCTGTGGGAAGTGAAGTACTTTAACTCACAATGTTCCAGCAGATCTGGTACTAAGATGAGTCTGATCATCTGGTAGAAGCCTTGCATCACTTGAGCACTGTCAATTGGTCTTTTCCATGCTCTGTAATCAAGCACACTCAATTATATTGACGATTGAATGCTTACTTCACTTGAATTTGTAAACCCAAAACAAGAAATTTGTCTCAAAGATTGAAGTGCTTACAATTCTCACATATGGGATTATGTTGCCTCCTCTAAAAATTGGAATATGTTAGAGACTGGAAATTAGTTTGTCAAGTTTACGAACGAACATCAGGCTTTCAAGTTTAGTTTTTTGCATCAGCCAATGGATGGTAGCCATATTAAATAAACAAAATTGCATAAGTGCCCTCGTCTTTAAGTGAAAATAATCTGATAATGGGCTACCTAGGTTTGCTGAATCGTGATCTGTGTTTAATTTACAAATCTTCAAATGCTATGTATTTCTGGTCCCCCTTTGTTTGAATATGTTTTTTGGTTTTCTATATTTTTTTCAAGATCTTCTAAAAGAGTATAGCCGCGTATAGCCGAGCGGCTATACGTTTACGATATTATAATTTTGGAGTATAGCCACGCGGCTATATGTTTACGATATTTTATTTATGGCGTATAGCCGGGCGACTGTACTTTTAAAATGTTATATTTATAGCGTATAGTCGGGCGGCTATACTCTTTAGATCTTCTATTTTGGATTATTGCCGACCGGCTATACTTATAAAATTTTCTATTTTCTGGTATAGCCGCACGGCTATACCTTTAAAATATAACGGCCTTCCCAGCTGCCAGACCTGTACTTGTTTCTGCGGATGCTTATTGGGTGGAACCCGAGACCATGTTGCCTTGTGTTGTTGATGGTAATATAATTACTGGGGCTACATGTGAAGGCCATCATGAGTTCATTAGGCTTTTTGTGAAGGCACCATCCAACCATCCAATCATTAAAAAAGTTTAAGTTCAAAATTCCCTTTATATTATTGGATAGTGGTATTGAACCCCTCATTATAGCATTTCCGTGGTAGATATACATATATAATGTGGATTCCATAAAATTTTAACTTCTTACGTTTTTTAACATCAACTAAAATGCTAGAGTAAAATTAATTTTGTGTGGGAAGTTAAACATGTTTAACCAAAAAGACAATACATATAATTTGTGGATTTATTTGTTCTATAACTCACTATCTATGTAGTTGATCGTAAATTTAAATGTACATTCTGTTGTGGGTGTTGATGAGCAAGCTTGCCAGTTCGTGCATGAGCATTTGTGAGGTAATATAAGAGTCAGAAGGTATGTACTGTAATGCAGAAACTTGTCTTTCAAATGAGACACGCAGCATGTAGAAGATGGACTAAATTTTAGATTAATACTAAACTTGATTTTTGTGATTTTGGTATATTAATTAGACAACGAGAGACAGAGAAACAAGAAGACTTAAACACAACTAACATGCAATACACCATTAAAAACAGAACCAGCTTATTACACCCAATCCACACACTATAAAGTATGGATACATAGTGTCATGCTTACATTTCAACAGTTGATAGGTACTATAAGAAATGGAGTACACTTTCAAACTCAGAGAGAATAGAAAGAACTTCAAACTCAAAGATTGATGATGCTTTAACAATAACTTGGAGAGATCCTTGAACTCCTTTGATGTGAAACTGAGACCTGCATTGCATCTCATAGAACTTCAACATGACAACTCTCTGAACCACATTCAAAATTTTAAAATTTTTAAAAGACGTATAGCCGAGCGGCTATACTCTTTAAATATATTCGAATATTTACAACTTATAGCCAAGCGGCTATACTCTTTAAATATATTTCAAACAGACACGAAGCTTGCACTCGCAAAGGACGGAGCTTGCAATTGCAAAGACTATTTTCAATCTCTATGTGATACTGTGGACGGTGGTAAAGACTTCTATTTGCTTGGTTATGATTTTGAGAGCTATTTATAGGCTCAGGTAATTATTTCTGTTTACTTGGCAATCCCAACCCAAATATTGCTTGTATATAAAAAAAAAAAAATTGAAGAAATAGCTGTAGACCAATGGGCTAAAGTGGTGTTTTAGCCCTAAACCCTAAAAGGATATGACAAAATTGTATATTTAAACAGTATAGCCGCGCGGCTGGACTTTCTAAATACATTCGAACATTTTAAAAGTATTGCCGTTCGGCTATACTCTTTAAATACTAATATATTCGAATATTTTAAGAGTATAGCCGACCGGCTATACTCTTTAAATATATTCAAAACGACCACGAAGCGTGCACCTCTCAAAGGACGGATAGCTGTCACAGCCATTCCGCTTCTCCATCAACTCAAGCTTCGATTTCTTCGGTTTCGGCAGCTTCATCCTCCTGATTCGGCACCGAAAAAAGATCCAACCCGCCTAGGAGGCCCGCCCAGCCGCCTAGTCGCCTAGCGCCCGCCTAGCTCCCGCCTAGCCGCCTAGCTCCCGCCTAGCCGCCTAGCCACCCGCCTAGCGCCCGCCTAGGCCGATTTTTGGAACCCTGTGATTGACTGAAAGTCTGAAACCCGAAATTAAAAAAATTTAGCTGTAAATTTAAGCATGTCATAATTGGATTAATTGGCAATATTTCAGGGGAAGAAGTGCACTGGATACCCAGGGTTTAAGGCTCGTGTGGTTTCGTCAGGGGGAACGTTTGTGGAAGCGGATCCAATAGATCTTTGTGTCACTGATGGAAATATGGTTATCGCAGCAGTGTGGCATGGCCAAGCAGAGCTTATTTCTCAGTTGATGACATTGCTTGATATTCGAGTATCATTCTAGGCACCATTTACCAGGTCAGCTGCTTCCAATTAATATATGTAATTCAATAAAAGAAGAAGAGCATATGTTAAGGTGATGTGTGTATCTGTGAGGGAACAATGATGCTCTGATTCTGTTGTATATGTACCAATTGTGGTTGGAACTTGTATGTTTGTAACTACGTAATGTTGATTATGATTTTTATGTAAATCCTTGAATCTGCTTTCAGATCTAGCGTTTACATTCCTAGTTTAATGATTAAAATCTATCCTTATTTCGAAACTAAATGAGTTGAAAGTGTACAAAATGCAGAAACAATAATATAAAGTTAGGCATACAAACTGTCAGAGATTCACTTAGGTTTGAAATTGGATATGATTTGTTTTCACATAGAACTAGAATATTTATACAAGTGGTGGGTACTTGGTCTCCAAGTACATTCCTATTTGGTTAGAATTACCTATAATTACATGGGATTACAATATCACAATAAAGGAAAACTAAATCACAGATATTGGAGTTGCTGGTTTTGTGCTAATTAGGTGCCATCTCTATTACAAACAAGGATGCAAAATCCTCAATAACAATCCAAAATCATATAACAAAATTGAGATTATAAATTTTGGAATTTAAAGTCCAAGCATGATATGGTAGATATGGGAGCTGCTACAATGAGGGGGATGTCAGTGTGGGGTTTTGAGTGAGGGGTTCAATCCAACCATCCAACCATCCAATCATTAAAAAAGTTTAAGTTCAGAATTTCCTTTATATTATTGGATAGTGGTATTGAACCCCTCGCCCACAATCCCTCATTATAGCATTTCCGTGGTAGATATACATATATAATGTAGATTCCATAAAATTTTAACTTCTTATGCTTTTTAACATCAACTAAAATGCTAGAGTAAAATTAATTTTGTGTGGGAAGTTAAACATGTTTAACCAAAAAGACAATACAGATAATCTGTGGATTTATTTGTTCTATAACTCACTATCTATGTAGTTGATCGTAAATTTAAATGTATGTTCTGTTGTGGGTGTTGATGAGCAAGCTTGCCAGTTCGTGCATGAACATTTGTGAGATAATATAAGAGTCAGAAGTTATGTACTGTAATGCAGAAAACTTGTCTTTCAAATGAGACACGCAGCATGTAGAAGATTGACTAAATTTTAGAACAATACTAAACTTGATTTTCATGATTTTGGTATATTAATTAGACAACTAGAGACAGAGAAACAACAAGACTCAAACACAACTAAAATGCAATACATTTCAACAGTTGATAGGTACTATAAGAAATGGAGTACACTTTCAAACTCAGAGAGAATAGAAAGAACTTCAAACTCAAAGATTGATGATGCTTTAACAATAACTTGGAGAGATCCTTGAACTCCTTTGATGTGAAACTGAGACCTGCATTGCATCTCATAGAACTTCAACATGACAACTCTCTGAACCACATTCAAAAAATTTAAATTTTTAAATGACGTATAGCCGAGCGGCTATACTTTTTAAATATATTCGAATATTTTAAACTTATAGCTGCACGGCTATACGCTTTAAATATATTTCAAACAAACACGAAGCTTGCACTCGCAAAGGACGGAGCTTGCAATCGCAAAGACTATTTTCAATCTCTATGTGATACTGTGGACGGTGGTAAAGACTTCTATTTGCTTGGTTATGATTTTGAGAGCTATTTAGAGGCTCATGTAATTATTTTTGTTTACTTTGCAATCCCAACCCAAAGCATATATATGCATTTTGAGTTTGGTGTTGTATAACTTACTATGGTGCGTGGGATTTGAATATATATGACTATAGGCTGCTGCTGATAAATCATTTGCGGATCCAAATAAGTGGACTCAGATGAGCATTATACTTTTTAAATATATTCGAATATTTTAAACTTATAGCTGCACGGCTATACGCTTTAAATATATTTCAAACAAACACG